CGCTGGCGAAGTCGCGAGGGCCAGTGCGGTGTAATAGTGTGAGGACCAAAACGCTCATGGTGGAGGTCGTCGAGTCGACGGTAGCAGCTGGACGCAGAGTGGTCAGGACTCCAGCAGGTAGTGCCAGCACTAGGGCTTGTCAGGGCCCGGTACCCGCAGGGGCCGACGTCTCGCCCACTGCTATCTGAGCCACTGCTAGGGGCTCCACACGTGGGACCCGCAGGTCCCCACTGCCGGGAGTGCTGTGGCTAGCCCTGCTGCTGTAGAACTCTAGTACACGCCATGTGAGTAGCTAGAAACGGGGGGGGGGGGGGGGGGGGGGTGCTTACAGGTGGGCCTAAGCTGCTGCTGGTGCTGCTGGCGGCAGCCTAAGCTGCTGCTGGTTCTGCTGGGGGGCAGCCTAAGCTGCTAGTGGTTCTGCTGGTGGCAGCCTAAGCTGCTGCTGGTTCTGCTGGTGGCAGCCTAAGCTGCTGCTGGCTCTGCTGGTGGCAGCCTATGCTGCTGCTGGTGTTACTGGGGGTAGCCTAAGCTGCAACTGGTACTGCTGGTGGCAGCCTAAGCTGCTGTTGGTTCTGCTGCTGGCAGCCTAAGCTGCTGCTAGTTTTGCTGGTGGCAGCCTATGCTGCTGCTGGTTTTACTGGGGGCAGCCTAAGCTGCAACTGATACTGCTGGTGGCAGCCTAAGCTGCTGCTGGTTCTGCTGGTGGCAGCCTAAGCTGCTGCTGGTTCTCCTGGGGGGCAGCCTAAGCTGCTACTGGTTCTGCTGGTGGCAGCCTAAGCTGCTGCTGGTTCTGCTGGTGGCAGCCTAAGCTGCTGCTGGTGTTACAAGGGGTAGCCTAAGCTGCAACTGGTACTGCTGGTGGCAGTCTAAGGTGCTGCTGGTTCTGCTGGTGGCAGCCTAAGCTGCTGCTGGTTTAAGTGGGGCAGCCTAAGCTGCTGCTGGTTTACGTGGGGCAGCCTAAGCTGCTACTAGTTCTGTTTTGTGCAGTTCTGTGCGGTTCGTACGGTTCTGCGCGGTTCTGTGCGGTTCTGCGCGGTTCTGTGCGGTTCTGTGCGATTCTGCGTAGTTCAGTGCGATTCTGCGCGATTCTGTGCGGTTCTTTGCGGTTCTGTGCAGTTCTGCGCGTGGAGAGTGTCGGGTGCATCACAAAAACCCCATGCCAAGTTTGGACGAATTTTGATTTCGATTGTCTTCGCGTAAAAAAATCCGGAGCCAATTTGGACCGACGGTTGGAGTCATTTGATAGGAGCTCCGAGACACATCTCGCGACAAGGTTTGGCTCGGTTCAAGTTCCAATTCGGCATGCGAGCTTTTCCTGATGACATTCGGGCGCAATCCGTTTTGTTGCAAATTCGTGACCAAATTATTCAAAACTAAATTCTGTTTTTGTTCATTTTGGATATTGAGGATTTCAAAATTGCATTTATTATTGCGGTTTACAACAACCATTATTCAGCATTCTAGCAACAAGCAGTCTTAGCACCAGGTCAAATAGCCTATGCACTGGCGGGCCTTGAAAGCGCCCGGTGGGCAAGGACGACATCTCCAAGGTCGCCGTCGTCGCTGAGGAACTTGTTCGGAAAGACGAACGCACCCATAGCCGGATCGTGGGTGATCCTCCGCTCCACGACAGCAAAGTGGATCATCTGTTTGAACTTTTCGCACCACTCCTGGTAGTCTGGCCTGTTCTGCTCCGACTGGCTACTGATTCGTTTGCGACGCTTATCCTGCAGAAGGGGCCATTCGATCTGCAATGTGGTGTAGGGTTGGGTGGATGGTTTATGAGGAGGGTAGGTTACGGGTAAATGAGGCAACTGAAAGCGGTGATGCAGTCGTCACTATCTACGTAACTGCAAAGGCTTAATCGACCAGGGATTTAGCTGAAGTACAGGCAAGGGGTTAAGGGGATGAGGCATGGGGGTACAAACACATATCTACATCCTTACCGAAAACAGGCCCCATGCCACCATGCGGCTCTTGAACTTGGTGAACACCGCCCCGCCCCTCTTGAATGAGAGCTTGAACGCATAAGCGAACAAGGGGTTGGTGAAGGGCATCCCGATGGCCTTGTCAAAGTGCCAGTTGAGGGCCCACTGTTCTGCTTTTTGGCAAGGAGGGTATGGGTTGGAAAGGGTTTTGTAGAGAAAACAAGTGGGGGGATGAGAGTCAGGGTGAGCCACATCGCACGGTGATATGTAGCTGCCAACTGACAGATGGTAGGGCATATTGTGTTTTCAAGTTGCACTGCACATACCATCTCTGTACTCGGCTAGGAGTTGATCGTCGTCGAACCAGGTCGTTGGGTGTAGCTCAGTGGGCAGGCTATCCACGAGATGGCTGTAATCGGCAAGGCCCATGCCGGTGTATGCTGCTGGCCTGAGGGTGGAGTTGATAGTTGACCTTGTTGAGGACAGCTGGTGGTTGAAGACTCCCATGGTTGACTTGTCATTGTGCAACCACAGCAGCTTCATTGCCTCGAGCCCTTCTGCAGACAAGTGGACAGAGAACGCGTCGAACACTTCCTCCTGTGCAGGGTAGTACTGTATTTTCTCCGGCGGGTTCAGAAACATGAGCTGAGAGCACTCTAAGTAGGCTTTGTTCTGCGCAGGGGTGTAAGGTATACAACACGACATGGGAGAGAGAAACCAGCAGTTATGAGGGTGGCCGCGTGACCAGGGGATGGTGACTAGCAACACTGTGTGAACTTGCCACGTCACACCCTGCGCCATCCGACACGTCCACCAACAACCCGGCCCACTTGCCACGTCACACCCCCCTACCACAAGCCACGTCACCCCCCACCCACCTGACACGCCTCGCTTCGTCATGCGCAGTGGTCACGTGTACCCTTTCAAACCGCCACATCATCCCCAACCCTCACCTTCCGCCACGTCACACCCACCTGCATCCGCCACGTCATCCTCAACCCTCACCTTCCGCCACGTCACACCCTCCTGCATCCGCCACGTCCACCAACCAGCCCCACGTGCCACGTCACACCCTCCTGCATCCGCCACGTCCACCAACAACCAGCCCCACGTGCCACGTCACACCCTCCCACCCCATGCCACGTCACCCCCCCACCCACCTGACACGCGTCGCCTCGTCACGTGCCGCTCCCGTGTACCATTCCAAACCGCCACGGCACACACTCACCTCACATCCCGCCACGTCACACCCTCCTGCATCCGCCACGTCCACCAACAACCAGCCCCACGTGCCACGTCACACCCTCCCACCCCATGCCACGTCACCCCCCACCCACCTGACACGCGTCGCCTTGTCACGCGCCGCTCCCGTGTACCATTACAAACCGCCACGTCAGCCCCAACCCTCACATTCCGCCACTTCACACCCTCCTCCATCCGCGACGTCCACTGACAACCAGCCCCACGTGCCACGTCACCCCCCACCCACTTGACACGCGTCGCCTCGTCACGCGCCGCTCCCGTGTACCATTCCAAACCGACACGTCAGCCCCAACCCTCACATCCCGCCACGTCACACCCTTTTGCATCTGCCAACAACCCGCCCTACTTGCCACGTCACACCCCCCACCAAGAGCCACGTCACCCCCCACCCACCTGAAACGCCTCGCCCCGTCATGCGCCACTCCCTTGCACCCTTTCACACCGCCACGTCATATCTCAACCCTCACCTTTTGCCACCTCACACCCACTTGCATCCGCCACGTCCACCAACAACCAGCCCCACGTGCCACGTCACACCCTCCCACCCCATGCCACGTCACCCCCCACCCACCTGACACGCGTCGCCTTGTCACGCGCCGCTCCCGTGTACCATTACAAACCGCCACGTCAGCCCCAACCCTCACATTCCGCCACGTCACACCCTCCTCCATCCGCGACGTCCACTGACAACCAGCCCCACGTGCCACGTCACCCCCCACCCACTTGACACGCGTCGCCTCGTCACGCGCCGCTCCCGTGTACCATTCCAAACCGACACGTCAGCCCCAACCCTCACATCCTGCCACGTCACACCCTTTTGCATCCGCCAACAACCCGCCCTACTTGCCACGTCACACCCCCCACCAAGAGCCACGTCACCCCCCACCCACCTGAAACGCCTCGCCCCGTCATGCGCCACTCCCTTGCACCCTTTCACACCGCCACGTCATATCTCAACCCTCACCTTTTGCCACCTCACACCCACTTGCATCCGCCACGTCCACCAACAACCCGCGCCACTTGCCACGTCACACCCACCCACCCCATGCCACGTCACCCCCCACCCACCTGATACGCGTCGCCTCGTCACGCGCCGCTCCCGTGTTCCCTTCGAAACCGCCACGTCAGCCCCAACCCCGCCCTGGTTGCCACGTCAACCCCAACCCGCCCCATTTGTCTCCTGCAACACTAGCACTCGTGCCTTGTCCACGGCGCTCATCGGCGGCGGGGTACCAGCCATAGGCAGGGCTGCCAACCCGCCGGCATAGCTGGCAGGTACTCCATGACGCAGGCCGAGCTGTGCAAACATGGCGTACATCTCAGACCGCAGCGCCTGGAACTCCTCCCGTGTAACAAACTGCTCGTGCTCCGCACTTTCACCTAGGGCACCCATGATCGGAGGAAAAGGGTGTGAAGAATCCCCCCTCTGGCCAAGGGGATCAACGTCTTCTGCAGCAGTCCCGTGTGCCTTCACACTATCACGCTGGCGGGAAAAGGGGAGCTCAGGGAAGGGATTGGCATAAGTGCCTGCCTGATGCCTGCGCGAAGGACCGGCGAGGGGGGAGACCGCCATGCCCCGGACAGGAGAAGCGTGGAGTTGCTGAAATGGGTACGAGGGTGAGGCGAGTGGGGAGTGCGTGACAGGGGCTGGTGGAGGGGATTCGGATTCCTCTCCGCTTGGCGCGCCGGGTGCCGTCGCAGCGACTTTGCTCGGGCCGGAGTATGGCGTGTAGAACCTTGGTGCTCCTGTGGATAGCGGTGTAACACTCGCTCTTCCGCCAGCCTTCGTTAGCTGCATCCGTTGCACGCTTACGGGTGGCCCAATGCCTGTAACGCGAGGGGCTGAGATGTAGAGGGAGTAGGATAAAGAAATTAGAGTCGATCGGTTTCAATACAGGGCCACACATGCATGCATAACATCAAAGGTTTGAATCTAAATCGGGTTTAGGGTTGTACTGTTTTGAGACAAGAGGGTTTACCTTGCTTGGCAGATTCGTCGACCTTCTCCTTCCCTGCAGGGGAGAAACAATGTGGAAAAAATGGTGTTATTTGGCACGGTTGAGCAGATGGTTCAACAACCACGCCAGTTGTATTGGCCACAATGCTCACCTTTCTGCTGTCCCTTCGGTTTTGGGGCAGCCTGCGCCTTCTCGTTGCCACCTTTCCGCGGGGTGCTTTGGCGGACGCTGCGTCGTTTCCCGGCAGGTTATTTCTTGCCGGTACCCACTGGAACCCCTTTGGCGTGGCCACCCTTTCCTCCTCCATCCCCTTTTGCTCCCTGGCTCCCTTGCTTTTTACCACCCCCTTCACTTTCGACCTTCACCTTACGCGCCTTCGATTTGCCCGCTGCTTCGCCGCGCGCGGCGTCATCTGCCCCGCGTTTTCGGGAATGGCGAGTCCGGCCCCCCACCTTCCCTGTACCACTCACCCGTCTGCCACGCCCGCCCCGTCCCTTCACTGGCGCCACATCCTGCTCCTCCTCCTCCTCCTCCTCCTCCTCCTCCTCCTCCTCCTCCTCCTCCTCTGCCTCCTCCTCCTCCTCCTCCTCCTCATCCTCCTCCTCGTCGTCACCCTGCTCCTCCTCCTCCTCCTCCTCCTCCTCCTCCTCCTCCTCCTCCTCATCCTCCTCCTCGTCCTCCTCCTCCTCCTCCTCCTCCTCCTCTTCGTCCTCCCCGCCATCATTCTCATCTTTTTCATCCTCCCCAACATCCGCGTCATCCTCCTCCGCATCCTCTTCATCCTCCTCTTCCTCCGCATCCTCCTCCTCATCCTCCTCCTCCTCCGCATCACCAGGGTCTTCATCGCCCCGTTTCGGCCTCGTCCCCATCGCTGCTTTCTTGCCTCTCCTTCCGCCGGATGTTTTTCTTGCTGCGGGTCGGCCCTTCTGGCGCAATGCTTGACCGCCCGCCTTGCCACTAGCTTCCTTGGCGCGTCGCGTTGTCCCAACTTCCGCGCCTCCGGCGTCGTCAGCACTGCCTGTCGTCTGCCGCCTCTTCGCCCGCGTGGTGAGGTCCCCGCGCACGGCGGTGTCATAATCGTCCTCCCCATCGCTCTTCCTCTGCCTACGCCTCCCCCGTCCACCAGAAGGAGGAGAGCCACCGACGTCGGCGATGCTGTGGTTAGGATCATCCATCGACTCGTGCTCCCCCACCTTGTCCTTATCCAGCACGGCTGCAGAAACTTCGACCACGGTCCGCTGGAGCAGCGTCAGATGGTGTTGCGATGCCGCCGCCTCGGACTCCTTGGTTGCGGCATGCTCGGCGCGGGGATCGCCTACGTGGTCTCCCCCTGTCGCCGATCCCTCTATCTCCGCCGACGGGACTACAAGACTCGCGCTCCCTCGCCTCGGATCTTCGTTGCCGCCAGTGGTGCCGTCGTTACTCGGACCGGGCTCAGTTCCAGCAGAGGCAACATCCGCATCTTTGTTCACTGTAGAAACACGCTTGCGTGGCGTTGGTTTAGGCCCCTTGTCTTCCGCTTTCTTGCCGGACTTCTCTTGACCGCCACTTTTTTCTGCCCAACGCCACGCGCGACGGATGCATTAGTTTTTTTAGCGCTGCCACCACTCTCCCTATCGATCTGTTGAGACGTCCTCCTTGTCGCGCGGCGGCCGGCCTTTTCCTCCTCCATTGCTTGGTTACGTGTTGCACGTGTCACGATAGTTGTAGGAAAGCAAATTAGCACATCGCGCGGAGGGGTTGAGCCGGTTTCGAAGGGGTACTGCAACTGAATCCCACGATGGGATTATTGACGGTCTATCACTGTTATCTATATCCGAAAACCGCCGCTTCAACTAAAACTGAAATAGTAGCCACTAAGCACAGAGCTACGGCTGATCTGGAAAGGCGTGTGTCAAACAGCGAGCAGCGTCAAAGTGTTGGCCTAGAGAGTGACGGAAGCAGGTGGGTGGGGCACGAGGGTGGTTGGGGTGGGTTGCGAGACTAGAGAGATTACTGTAACCCTATCAGGCTATATCGGACGGTGTACGTGTAGCCACCCTAGCATAAACCCACCTACCGCTCGATCTCAGCCGCTCAATGGCTGAAGTACCTCTTGGCTGGTGATTGTGTTGCGGGGGGAATCGTTTGAGATGCGTCGGCCAATCACGGTTGCCAACGCATCAATCACTATTAAGGGTACAATGGTTGTGGAACCAAAAGTGCGAAATTAATCAAATCCCTGCAAAGTACAGTGTTGTCGCGAACGCACAGTGTTGCACATAGCAGCTAAATTAAATTCAAACATACAACAATAGAATTCATGAAACACTTAGTTGCAAATGGTTTAGTATGGGGTTGGGTAAGTTAATCGGTGATTCTCACGTCACACACACAACGACCGTCCAGAAGTATTACTTGTGACAGATGTAATGCGCACTTTTAGGCTTTGCCACAACGGTTTATCGCCAGCGGACGACATTCTAACACGATGATCAATAGTAACAAACGAGAATCAGTTGTGGTATGGTGTTGGATTGTCATCTATTCTTGCACGGACATTAAACAAGGTGCTTAGAAGGAGTGGTATGAAGCACAGGCCCAACGCACAAGCGTAGATGCGTTACCGACAGCCATGTTTAGACAGTGCGACGATGCAGCGTTCAGGCCTGTGCGTTGCGCGACATGGTGAATCAGTTGTGGTAGGGTGTTGGATTGTCATCCATTCTTGCACGGACATTAAACAAGGTGCTTAGAAGGAGTGGTATGAGGCACAGGCCCAACGCACAAGCGGCGATGCATTATCGACAGCCAGGTTTACACAGTGCGTCGATGAAGCGTTCAAGCCTGTGCGTTGCGCGACATGGTGAATCAGTTGTGGTATGGTGTTGGACTGTCATCCATTCTTGCACGGACATTAAACAAGGTGCTTAGAAGGAGTGGTATGAGGCACAGGCCCAACGCACAAGCGTAGATGCGTTACCGACAGCCATGTTTAGACAGTGCGACGATGCAGCGTTCAGGCCTGTGCGTTGCGCGACATGGTGAATCAGTTGTGGTAGGGTGTTGGATTGTCATCCATTCTTGCACGGACATTAAACAAGGTGCTTAGAAGGAGTGGTATGAGGCACAGGCCCAACGCACAAGCGGCGATGCATTATCGACAGCCAGGTTTACACAGTGCGACGATGCAGCGTTCAGGCCCGTACGTTGCGCGACATGGTGAATCCGTTGTGGTATGGTGTTGGACTGTCATCCTTTCTTGCACGGACATTCAACAAGGTGCTTAGAAGGAGTGGTATGAAGCACAGGCCCAACGCACAAGCGTTGATGCGTTACCGACAGCCATGTTTAGACAGTGCGACGATGCAGCGTTCAGGCCCGTGCGTTGCGCGACATGGTGAATCCGTTGTGGTATGGTGTTGGATTGTCATCCTTTCTTGCACGGACATTCAACAAGGTGCTTAGAAGGAGTGGTATGAAGCACAGGCCCAACGCACTAGCCTAGATGCGTTACCGACAGCCATGTTTAGACAGTGTGACGATGCAGCGTTCAGGCCCGTGCGTTGAGCGACATGGTGAATCCGTTGTGGTATGGTGTTGGATTGTCATCCTTTCTTGCACGGACATTCAAACCGTTGTGTTATTGTACAACATCCATTCTTGCATATTCATTCAGCACGGTGCGTAGAGTTACACTAAACCTCGTGAGAACACACGCTACAGGTATTCGGTTCACGCAACAATCATACGTTAGGGCACGGAGATCTTGGGTACTTCCCGTATCGTTCTCAAGTACGGGTTGTTCATGAGCAGGCCTAAGGATATGACTGTTTAATAGTTATCAACGACTTGAGTGTCTTGTAAAAATGTAACTGTACATTGTCATTTCCTGGTTTGTATGAAGCCTCTTGAGCTCACCTACGTGATTGTGATTTCCCCCCTATATCGATTCGCGACACAATCATAGATCCAATAGGATCTCTTCCCGCTCTTCCTCATCCCCCTCGACTCTCACGCACGGTTCATAAAAACAAGTTCTTGAATCAATAGGCACGTCCTTCTCACCGTGCTCGCGACGCACACACACGACCAAACGTCTTAAGATCCAGTGCATTCTCCTCTGCTCACGTCGTGGTCGCTCTTAACGGGGGCGGCACGCCTTGTAGGGAAGACGGCCCGTGCCGTGGGCGGTCTGTATCGTGCCTTGTCACAACCACGCGGCTCGACATCGTTAGCCAGTCATAAACATTAGCGCCAACCTCAAGTGCCAGTCGTGAAGTGATACAAACCGCCGACCAGAGTGCGCGCTTTGGCGATGATCGTGTTGCTGTCACAGCCTTCTTGAACGGTGTACTTAATGCGTTCACAAGCTTCATACGGGCTAGTTGCTTCATAGGCCATTTCTCGACTCTACAACAGATCCGTAACACATGGGCTCTTTGCCAGGCGTCGTCTGCGAGTTCTGCAACAGATGGTTCCCCAACGCCCAAGTTTATGGCGGTCATAAGTCACGGCGGACCCCTTGCCAAGGACTATCCGCCGTGGCAAGGCCCACGCGATCTGCACCGTCCGCCGGTCTTCACGCTCTGCTATTCCTCCACGCGTGCCTAAAGCTCACGTTGACGAAACTCCCTCGGCTGTGAACGAGGGGCCTCCTGAAGATGAACATCAACCACAACCAGGAACTCCTGCGGCTGACACGAGTGACCATCCTGAGAGTCGGCCCGAAGGGAGTCATGCCGCGCCGCCAACAATCATCTCCGGACAGAGCAATGCCACGCCCCTCAATCCGCTCGCGTTGAAGCTGCTGCATTTCGTTTGGCGCGTGAATGGCGGAATGGGAATGGCCGAGGTTGACATCAACGGCCTGCTTCAGCTAGTAGTAGAGCCCGGCCTTGCGCCTCTTGTGACCTCGGAGCTCCGGAACTGTAAGGACCTGGAGCGGTTCGAGATGGAGCGCTTGGCAGGGCTCAATCGCGGATGGTCGGTGGCGACCTTCGAGATTGCCGGTCATCCATCAGAGCGCTTGCTCTTCCAAAACTCAGCCCAGGTAAGCCGACTTAGCAGGCCGTGAAATGATGATGAGGCACACATGGTTTGCATGTACGTAGTTATCCTTGTGTTAACCGTAGACCCACCTTCACCGCCACTAACCATGCCCCTCCTCTCACCTGCCTTTGCTACCGTACACCAGGCATTCGCTGAAATGTTTGGGCATCCCAACAACGCGCCCGGCTTCAAGCTCAAGGCGCGTGTTAATGAGGACCCTGACGCAGGCGGCCGTCGCTATACCACGCCTGAAACAGGAACGTGGTGGAATGATGCTTAGGTAAGGAAATACCACGTTGCCACCCCAAACCCAATCCTTGCTCATGCCTCCATCGCTGCGCTGATGTGTCAAGAGCATCTTGAGTGTTTGACCGTGTGTCCGTTGCCGCTTTGTCGTGCATTGCAGGAACACTTCGGTTGGTCCGAAGTTGTGGGGGGGATCATCTTATATTCGGATGTGACGCACATGAGCACCAACGGCCGGAAGAAGGCATGGCCGCTCATGATGACGCTGGCCAACATCTCCCAGGCCAAGCTATGGGGGAAAGCCGGGCACACACTACTTGCCCTCCTTCCTATCCCCCCGTCTGCAATGTCTGCCGTGGAGAAGGTGATGCTCTTCCAGCGTTGCGTCATCACCGTGCTGCAGCCGCTTCTTGATGGCATCACCAGGTCCGTACTCGGTTTGCATCTTGCTATGTCATCATCTCCCCACCTGCAGAGTATGCAAACACTCTCTGTATGTAGCATGCCCCTTTGCCCCTCGTCGTTCCTCCCTAAAAGCCGTAACCCGAATTCCTGTTGCCACTCTACCTGTTCCTTGCAGCGGGTTCCGTCTCAGGGACCCTTTCGGTGATTGGCAAACCGTGCAGCCCCTGCTGTACGCCTGGGTGTGCGACTACCCCGAGAGCGGCAAGATCAGTTGCACACTCTTGCATGGATCGCGGATGCCGTGCAGCATCTGCTATGCTGCAAAGGTGAGGTCACATGCCATCTGCACGCATTCAAATACATTTTCGTTTGAGGGTCGCCTGATAGAACCCACATAGTTACCACCCTTACCTTTTGTATCCCATCCCTCACCCCCGTGCTACAACAGGAGCATCTGAGTGCTGTCAAGGCACGGAACACGCCGCGCATGCCT